AGAAATGGGCTCTTGTTGAACCTCTTGGGGTTCAACAATGGAAATTGCTAAGTCCTGCACCTGCTTACATTCCTGCAAGGGAAGTAAAACAAAGGCACTAGTGTGCATGCTGGCAGCTCGTCATCTGAAGGCAGCTCTTTGGAGAAGTTTTTTGTAGTCTTGGTGGATACAAGTCAACCAAGGGCATTGTGTCCTTGTGGCAAAGAAGGCCCATGGTATACTGGGCTCCATTAGTTACAGTGTTACCAGCAGGTCCAGGTGAGCAATCCTTCCTCTCAGCTTAGGCGAGTCCTCACCTGGAATGCTGAGATCAGTGCAGGGTTCTCTTGTACAAAAGAGGCATGGAGCTCCTGAACAGTGCCTAACACATGTCTACTGCGATGATGAATTTGGAGCATTTCTTCTATGAGCAAGGTAAGACTGTTTAGCCTACGGAAGAGAAAGGAGAGAACTTATTCATGTGTATGCTTGGTGGGAGAATGCTAAGAGAACAGAACTAGGTTCATCTAAGTGGTGCCCAGTGCCAGGCTAGAGGCAGTGGGTGCAAATTAGAACACAGGATGTTCTATTTGAACACCAGTAAGTGCATCTGTGAGGCTGTGGGCTCTCCTTGCAGATTTTCAGAAGCTGCCTAGGTGTGGTCCTGGGTGCCCTTCTTGAGCAGAGTTTGGGCTTGATGGACTTGGATTTAAACATGTACATAGTTAGTTTTCCTGTTTACCTTTCCTATGAATATCTGGCTGCTGTGACTGTGAAGAAACACAAGAAGTTCTCATGCTCCTGCTCCATAGAAAGTTTCTGCCCCATTTGTTTTGCAGTATAGTTTAATTTGACTTGCACAACTATTTAGCTATTGTGTAATTGTACGAAATCATTCTTATTTTGACAGTGGCCTCTAGAGGCTCGTTCAACCTTAACCATTATTCTGTAAATCTGAGGTTACTTTCTTGTAGTGCTTGTTTGGAAATGAAACAGCAATTGTTCTTCCAACACTACAAACTGATTAAAGTGGCGAAGCCATTGCTAATTAAAAATAAGTAGTAACTTCAATTTTCCAGTTTCCTCCCGGCGGAGGTGTGCACATCTTATTTTTTTCTCCATCATCTGTGGAGCAAGCTATAACACAGTGTGGAGAGGAGAGCTGGGCTTTGTTTTTAGGATGATATACACAAACCTAGCAGTAGTTCAGTCTCAAAAAGCAATTTTTGTTACCACTTTGGGATCTTATTGCAACTGAAAAGAGAAAGTTAAGAGAATGCTAAAGGTTGACAGAGGTACTATAGTATATATACACACAAAGTAAGGATTTTGGGGATGATTTACAAATGTAGAAGCTTTTACTTGTATTATTACCCTGAGTATTTTATATACACATAATACAATGTCTCACGTGACTTACTACATACTGCAAGCAAAGGGCATGGGTTTTATTCACACTGGAAAAAAAAAAAAAAGGCAACTTGGTTTTATACAGCATGGAGCTAGGACAAAATGGAAGGGTGAAATGAATGACTGTAATGAGGAATTTTGCGAACTTTCCATGTAATATCCTAGGATACAATTATAATTATGTGGCAAAATGCTCAGCAGAAATCAGTCAAAGCATCTCCAACAATACTAAAAGTTGCAAAAAAGTGAAGATTAGAAAATATGAAGTAAAAGAGGTAAAGTAACTAGCTACATGAATTTACCATTCCCATGTGAGTGATGTCTTGTTTGTTTTTGTTCATAAGTAGTGATAAGAGGCAGAGAATGAGCTTGCGTGGTCATTTCAGGAATAGTATTGTAGACTGGACCAGCTGTTTACATTGGTGATTGGTAGATTTTTCAAATACCAGATCAAGTAATTAAAATATTTGCTTTTTCTATTTTCTTCACAAATTCATGTGGTAAGGATAAATTTGTAAAGTTCTTACTGTCTTTTAAAATGCCAGCTGGACACTTGAGAGGATTATGGTTAAAAGGGGTAATCTTTTAGTGTACTGGTTTGACGTTATGATGTTTGTAGTACTTAGGGAATCTTAAGAGACTCAGATTAAACAGATTAAACTAGTTAGAGTCCAAAATGTAGTAGTCAGTAATTGGCTTTTTGGGTGGTAACATTGCCCACTGATACATTTAAAAAAAAAAAAAAAAAAGCGTATGAAAGAAATGAGACTTAAGAGAAGTTTGAAGTATGAAAATAGTCTCCTTAATAGAGTAGAGTCCATCCCTATCATTGTTAAAGATGAGTCTTCATTCAAGCACGTTCTCATTATTTTAATGAACATTATGAACAGATAATAAAGGAATGCACTCCAGTAGATAAAAATTAAATGCTGTCACTATTCATGACATTTTAGTTAATTATACTATCCCACAATGACTTGTGACTGTTAGCACTGAAGCTTGAGATAAAATGGAGGCATCACAGCAGCTTGCAAAAGCTGTACCAAAGCTTATCTCTGTCTTGAATGGAAGGATAATAAATTCTACGAACGCAGATCACCAGATGACCCAGGTTTTTCTTTAGCTGTAAATTAGGGGATTATACAATCCCTGTGTAATATTAATTATTAAACAAAGGCAATTATAGATTTTAATTCATTCATGAAATTTTATAAAGACTGGCAGACGAGCAGTGTCATTTTTGTTACCTGCAATTTTCTGTTTTAACTCCTTTTGTAAAGCTGCTTTGATGGACTGTGGGTGATCATACTCTGTTGTGCTATGTGATGTCAGCAGACCTTTTACAAGTAAATTAATGACATGATAGTCAAGTGTCACAACATTTCTAAAAAAAAAAAAAAAAAAGGAAATAATTATTTACTGTGTCCTTTTTTTTTTTTTTTTATATCAGGTTAAAATTCAGGCACTGAATTTCAGTATCGCCCTCTGACAAACCTAACTTTTTGCAGTTCTTTGTCTATAAACAAAGAGTCTAATCTATATAAATGTTTTTATTTGTACATATTCAGTCATTGGTTGTAGTGAGAAGATACTACTTTGTGCTTTTCTTTGTACCTAACAAATAGCACATGATAATACATCATCTGCTGGTTGAATGCGAGATAGGAGGACAAAAATGACGAAATTATTTTATTTTTATGTAATATCTCTAGTTCAATGCATTTTGCACTAGTTCTCTCCACATTTTTCTGTGAAGGAACCTGTAACATATGTTTCTCTTACATACCTGTAAGCAGTATGGCAAGTTTTCTTTTGGTATCAGCATGTTTTGGGGGATGGATGTTTGTGATAATGATCAAGTACTGAGTAACACTGGTTTCAAAATATGGGAAGTCATGTGTCACTACTAGTCATCTTATGTGTCTGCCATGCACAGTGTGTGCATCAGTAATTAAACAAATTAAACAAATGGCCATAAACACTGTAGAACGTAAAATGCATTAGACATAATTACATGTACTCTGCAAAAAAGATTTTCTTCCTTTTAGAAGAAGCCCAATTTTAGGATGTTCGTGCTTCTTACCAAATGGCTCAGAATTACTTTAAAAAACAAAAGTACACATTTCAGACCTTTATTTTAAATACTCGATCCTTTTCTGTCCTATTACTTACAGTCTATTCTCAAGCAGCCTTAAAGCACTAGACGTTGCTCCAGGGTGTGTGTTGGGCATGCCATGTGTCTTGATGTATGCTGAATTCATTCTGAATGTAATTTTAATAAAACTCTGGGTAAAATGCCACTATTAGCTGTTCTGCATTGGCATCCAATCAAGGCAATATGAATGACATTTTTACTTGAATTTTAGACCTTGTGTAGCTGAAGCGTTTGCAAATGACAAATTGCCTGTGGTCAGCAAGGAGAATGCACATGATTGTGAAGGTTGGATGATACACTCTCAGAAATCAATACTGATGAATGTTACTGTTCAATATTCTCAGCTCTCAACCTTGTACAAATGTGAAATAGGTTTTTCCTGGCTTTTAATCCTTGAGAACTTGTGACAGTCATCCTTGTTACAGTTGATGTTATTGGCTGTGTATACGCACATGTAAACCCTACATAGTGGTGTATGTTATGCATGTAAATTACGATGTGATCTGTTTAAAAGATGAATCACCACATTTCTTCTTGTTCACATATGACATAAAATAGTACCATAAATGTATAATATAGGAAACTGGTGTGGTTTATTTGCTGCAATGAGCATTTGCTTCCAAATTCTGCTTGCTACATAAAGGTACATCTTGGCTGTACAGGAAATTTCTATCTTTGAAACACCTAGCAGTAAGGGGGGGATGGTTGCTGTGCTGATATATTACTAGTGACATTTACACCTGAGATTTTGGAGTATGTATAACATATAACAAGAATAGCTGCTTGTATGGAGGTCAGGTACTTCTGGGTGTTCTTTTATTAGTGCTAATTGAGCCAGATGCTCAATTGAAATATGTGGTTGTTCTTCTAGTTGTAAATATCATCTGAGTCATATCAACTAGCACTATAATACGTAAATAATTTGTATTTAGAGAAAATATGAATAAAAGTATCAGATATCACTTCTAAACCACTTGGATTTGGCCTTTTTGGCTCAAAGTATGAGATGTAAGACAAAAAACTACTTGTCAGAATTTCTTTTAAATAGATTATAATTCTCCTTAATTTCTATTCTCATTTTTAATCTGTGATGAAGAAAGAAGTGCATTGTATGTTAATTCTGAATTGGAAATACATGTCCTTTTACAGACTCACGTGGATCAAAGAGATATTGCAAATTGACATCATATGTTGTGCCAGGTGAAACTTAGAAAATGAGAGTGGATATACCAGTCTATGGGAAATAGAAGTACCACTTTATGAAATATAGAAACAGTAATGTTTCCTTCACAGATGACTACAGCAAAGTCTGGAAAATCATTTCTGTTTTGGGCTATCACAGCATGACTTATTACATGTATATATTTATGTATACACATATATGTATACTTTTTTTCTTTCAGCATTTAAAATACACCCTGAGATCACTTCAACACTGGGATTTTTGTCTTTGCAGTTTGTCGAGAAGACTCGTACCAGTCAATAGTCTCATGTGCTGCTGTAGTACTTACCCCAACAGTGGATACAAGGAAGAAAGAACAGATGCCAAAACCTGAAGCGTCTAAACAGTGAGTTATTCAAATAACATGATCATTTATGAATGCAATGTGAACAAAGGGTATTTTCATTCTTGTGGATGCGTTTATACGCCTCATTTCTGTTTCACTAGGGGTTACGCTTAGGTGTTTCCATAAACAGAAATTGACCTGTGACTAGGCTGCTTCTTTTTCTCACTAGTCTACCTTTTTATCCAAGGTTTTGATAATGAAGTATACAAAAAGAGTGCTTATTTATCTTGTGAAAAATTTACTTTTTAATAAGCTTAGCAGAGTGATTGCCTTTGTTTAAATAATCCTCTCATTCATCTCAGTTTTCAGTTGCTTTTTAGAAAGATCTTAGTTCCTAAATGGTCTTCTCATTTGAGATACTTCAATATTTTTCAGTGCCTTTTTTTACTACTGTGTTATAATGACATGATGACATCCTCAAAAATATGCTAGTGATCTTCCACGGAAATTCTAAGAAATTGAGTGTAATGTGATATCTTACGTTAGACAAAAATCATACCCAAAACATATCAGACAGGTTGGTTGTTCCCTAACAATTTTTTACATGGTCCCATACAACATTCTTGTTTCTAAAGTGGAGAGATTTGACATGGTTAGAACTAGAGGGTTGTGGTCAATGGTTCTATGTCCAGGGGGAGGCCGGTCATGAGTGATGTCTACCAAGGGTTTATCTAGGGTCTGGTCCTTTTCAATTTATTTATCAATGACCTGGATAGTAGGATTAAGCTCACCTTGTGTGGCGCAGTTGATACAACAGAAGGAAGGGATGCCATCCAGAGGGACCTGGACCGGCTTGAGAAGCAGGCACACAAGAACCTGCTGAGGTTTAACAAGGCCAAGTGCAAGGTGTTGAGCTTGGTTCAGGGCAATCTCAGGTATGCATACAAACTGGGAGGAGAACTTCTTGAGAGCTGCCCTGCGGAGAAAGTCCTGGAGATCCTGATGAATGTAAAGCTGGACACGGAAAAACAAAACAAAACAAACCCACACCGTCAAAAATTCAGTGAATCAGGTATTAGACCTGAAACCTTTGGGTCAGATTGAAATGTTTGCACTGCCACATCTGTTACTAGTTATACAGTGTCTTTAACGGGAGGTATAAAGTCTCTTTTCCTCATGTACGTCTAGTCTTAGTACAGGTCTATGGCCTAAGTCAGTAACTTATTGTGGCCTTTCTTTCAGTCTGATGATAGAACCATTTCTTCCTAGTCTACATGTATTTGAAAATTTAACGTAGTACATTGTCTGTCTCCTATATGTGAAGTAATGTCTGAAATACTCTTAGCATCTATTTGATTGAATGTTTTTGTTATGCGGCTTTCTAATTATGAAAAGATTGGGAAGGCAATAGGCTGCAGAGTAGCTATGCTGAAATACAAACTGTGGTTAATTCAAACAATATAGTACGTTTTTGCCTCATTTCCATTAAAAGGTAAGGCTGCACTGTTATGTTATTGCCTTTTTTTCTCCACTATCAGCAGTTTCAGCATTTCATAATCCCTTATGAATTTAAAGGAAGGTCCTTTATGTGTTTAACAAGTACTTGAGACTTTTATGATAATATCTCCTTTTCCCCTTTGGCTTGTGATATTAGCAAGTATATTAATATACTTTGTTTTTTACTTATTATTTTATTCTTTACAACCTGACTAGTGATATACTTTAAGTTATTTAAGTTATTAGACGTATATAATATGCTCAGATATCTAAGTACCGTGCTGTAGCCTCTGCTCCAATTTGCACTTCTAAAAATTTAACTTGTAGCTCTGGAGTTCTTTCATTTTAAAAAAAAAAAAAAAAAGAAAAAAAAAGAAAAGGTTGTGCTTAGTTAACAGTCATGTTTAAACCAACATTTCTTACAAATATATTAGAAATGAAACAAACATCTTTCTGGAAGAGTTTTACATGTTCTAATAGGAGTTCAGTAAACTGTCTCTAAACATTCAGTGTAACTGTAGGAATGTAGGCTGGACGAAGTATATTGCTTTAAGGAGATATGAAGTGCTGTAAAGCAGCAGTGTCCCATTTATTTTTATCTTGTCACTTTATGCATGTAGATCTTTGTCCCCATACCTGTTTACAACTGAAGATTTAGAGATTGTCTAAATATCCAAGTACCGTCTGTTTTTCTCCACTGTAGACATTAAGCAAGAAGAAGCTCCTGACACACATCGAATTTCCTTTACAGTAGTGCAGTGTTCATGTTGTGTGCACAGATGAATTGTAATTACTTGTGTTTGTAATGATCTTACTGAAAATGACCTAATAACCTTCATGCTTAGATTTTTATGCTTACTTTTGCATATGTACCTCAGTGGTTATGACTTGCCTGTCCCAAAATTGAATATCACAGGATTGAGCAGTGGTCAGCTCTCTAGCAATGAGCAAATATTGCTGAGTTTTAGGACTGTGGACAGAGTATGTCAGAGTATGTCAAAATGCTTTCTGAAACTATGTAAGGAAGCAATGTATAATCCAAGACACAAAAAGTACATATTAGTGAAAATCAGATAATAAAAAGTTGCAAATAATTAAAAACAACTGTGTAAACCTCAGTGGAACTATATGCAAAATTTTCAGGACACAAGAAACTGTGATGCCTGAGTGAGAAAAAATACCATTAGTGTGAATTGTATAGTATTTGACTAATGATGTTTGGACTTAAACAGAAGCTGTTCAGTGACTTTAAATAATGCACTGTATTTGATTAATGTAATTTTACTCTAACCAGCAAAATATTACGCCAGAAATGGTAGCAGCAATGCAGAATTCTTTGAAGAGTCAGTGATTAGATAATGTCAGGATTGGAGAAATAAAAGACTGTTTTTTTTTTTTCCTTTTATTTTTCTTGAACTTGCAAAACATTTCTCCAGGAGGCAATTTCTTAATGATATCTAGGGAACTGTGTGGGGAATCACAGTGACTGGTTAGGTGCTTACTCATGGGAATCAGGATAAGGGAGAGAACTATACCTTCAAGCAACGTGCTGCACTGTTTAGTACAGGTGATCAGTTTGGCATCTCGGAAGGTTTTTGTGTATGTACAATGGCTGTTCCAAAACTAATGCCTTCTGTCTTATTATTTTAGCCCATGACATCAGAGACCATCAGTTGGTGTTATGGCAGTAGAGGTTGAACCTTCGTTCCAATGTTTTGTTGCCATGCAACAGATGGCAGCAGATGGGGCCATCTGACAAGTGGCATCTGATGTGGGAGTGTGTATGGAGCAAAGATGTGCAACTGAATTCCTCCGTGCAGAAAACACTGCACCCAATTAACACTGATTGATATTTGTTGAACGTTTGTGCCGTGGAGCCCTAATAGTGGATGCGAGCACAGTGAGGTGGGGACTGGTGCATTTTAGCAGTAACCACAGCAGCAGTGTGTCCCCTCCACTGATGAGATTTTTACAAGCAAAGCATGTAGGCTCTTGTTAATCGCCAACTAAAATGCATAGTTAATGGTGATGACTATGTTTCATCAAGGGAAGTGTGACCAGGAGGTTGACGGAGCTGATTCTGCTTCTCTACTGTGCTCTTCTGAGACCATATCTGGAGAGTTGTGTCCAGCTGTGGGGTCACCAGCACAAGAAGAACTCCAGAGGAGGGCCACAAAAATGATGAGAAGGCTGGAGCAATTCCCCTGTGAAGACAAGCGGAGAGAGCTGGGGCTCTTGAGCCTGGAGAAGAGAAGGCTCTGGGGAGACCTTATAGCGGCCTTCTACTACCTGAAGGAGGCCTACAGGAAAGCTGAGGAGGAACTTTTTATAAGGGCGTGTAGCAACAGGACAAGGGGAAATGGTTTTAAACTGGGTTTAAATTTAAAAACTAGATTTAGACTAATTATCAGGAAGAAATTCTTTACTGTGAGGTATTGAGATGAGACACTGGAACAAGTTGCCCAATGAAGTTACGAATTCCCCCTCCCTGAAAGCATTGAAGGCCAGACTCGATGGGGCTTTGAGCAACTTGATCTAGAGGGAGGTGTGTCCCTACCTATAGCAGGATGGTTAGAAGTAGATGATCTTGAATGTCCCTTCCAGCTCAAACCAAACTCCAAACTCCCTAATTGTTTGATCTTCAATTTGTGAAAATGTAATTGTTACATTTGAAGACACTGATTGATGCCTTTTGATTTTTGCAGCCTTGCCTAATTTTTTTCAAGGGAAATTGAAAAAAAGAAATAAATAAAGTATTCTACTATTTCTTTCACTCGCAGGTTTTCTTTTCCTTTTTCTCTCCTTCCATCTTTTACTTATATATATATATATATATATATATATGTAGTATTTAGATAAATTTCTGGAAATAATTTTTTCCCCTTGAAGTGACTGTTCTTTTCTCTGCCCCTAAGAATGACATGAAGAGTGATCCTCTACTGTCAGGTTGTGGTACCCCACTGCAAGGTTTGTATCTGGTTTGACAGTCTTTTCAAGCAGGCTTGTTTTGGTAATGTGTGAAATGAATGCTTTTCAGACTCGTTTGGACAATCTGATAAAAGGTGATTGAACCGTTTCAGTTTCCAAGACAATTGTGATGATCTGCTCTGAAAACGTGCGTCACTCCTTGCGTAATACTAATGGTATATGGGTGCCTGTTGTTGCTCTGGAAATACACTGATTTGAAAGCTGTGGTTCCAACTCAGATGAGAAGCAGTAAAGACACATCAGCTGAATTGCAGTATCCTTAGCACAGCGTTTTAGTGATATGTAAGGGATAGAATTTATATCAATTTCTGCAAAGCAAGTACTTCAAAATTGGGTAAAGAGTTTGTAGTGCAATGTACTTATATTGTCAGTTGTCATGTGTCATCAAAATCACTTACTGAACTGATAAGAATCAAATATATTTATGTAAGGGCCAGATGCGTTCCAAAAATTGCCTCGTGTGTAGGTACTGGAGCTCTTTCTTGGGGAACCAAGTGGACCTGTGTCTTGTGGGCTCAGGCCTTGAAGGCTGTGCTGTGCACATGACAATGTCTTTGTTGTTCCGTGCTCTCACC